CTCCCTCCCTCCCTCCTTCCCTCTCCCCTCCCTCCCTCCCTTTCTAGTTAGATTAGGTGCAATGTTAGTGTATACATCAGTTGATGATGAGCTGCTCTCAATGTTACAAACACACATTCATGAGTTATTAGGGTATGGGACGTATATCATCCTCTTATTGTAGCAAAGAGAATAAAATTCTTGTCTCTCTCTCTCTCTCTTTCAACAGGTTTCTTAATGATTCATTGTCATTATTCACCGTTCAATATGACGCTGCTACTGCTGAATATCTTAGAAGACTAGTTTAAAGCAATACGACACAAAATAATTTCAAATTATTTCAAAATATTGTTTTCAAATTATCAAAAACTTAATCACTACATGTGCATGTAATTAATTCTAGCTAGTTAATGTCCACTATTGGTAATTGTTTGTGTGGTTGTTCTTGTCTTAGTCTATCAATGAATGGCTTTTGATCATTAAGAGTGTCCATTAGGTAGTCTTGTGTAGCCAGACCCATCCCCCTTTTTGACGTGGTTGGAAAATCAGGCCAAATGAAGACATACTCAAGTGATGGATGGGTGAAGATGGTTTGGTAAAAATGTTGTACTATTTCCTTCCAGTGAGGCTGAGACGATTCCTTACTGAGATTCCACACAAATAAATACAGTATTTTAAAGGTTGTATGTGACTGGAACATGTTAGTAATAGCAGGTAGTACCTTTTCATAAAACAATGGTGTCATTATTTTTTTCTTCTCATCATCACTACAGCTACTGTATAACTGATCATCTAGTTTTGATGTCAAAAAAAACTCTGTGAGATTTTTCTTTTGAGAGATGACGTTAATCAATGCTCTTGACTCTTCATTCACTGGAATAGTTACACTCAACTGCTGTAGACCGGTGTTGTGTCTGAGACCAGTTGTTAGGAAGGGCACCAATGAAGTGGGAATATGAAAAATCTCAAGGTATTTCAGTGTTTGGTTTTGTGTTAGCATGTCTTCTAGACTAGTACCTGCTGTAGTGTTGCCATCCTTTATATAAACACTCAAATCTTTAAGTGTAGTATTGGTTTGTAGAATAGTAAATAGTTCAGTAGCACTCTCAGCTGTGTCTAGTGGTAAAGCAAGTGCATGTAGACTGGGATTAGAGTGAAACAGAAGATGTGGTGGGTATGGCTCAGGTACAAGCAGACAGTGTAACCCTTTGATATGTGAAAGGAGTGAAGGTGTCATCATTTTACTACTCCATTCTATCTGTAGAGCAGTCAGTGGTGTGTTCACCTCTGCTATATTCAGTGATGATGGTAGACGTTCATTAGGTATGACTAGCAAAAGTGCTTGTAATGTGTTGTTGTCCTTCAATAATTGCTCTAAAACTCCATCAGGTATAGGAGGAAGATTGGGAGTATCATCATCATGAATCCGTAGTACAAATGATTTTATTACTTTATTTTTTGCTACTCCTCTCATGACACTGTTTATGGAATGCATTACTTTAAAGTGAAGATACTGAATCGCCATTTCTTTTATTTTGAAATTCTTTTCTATGCATTTCTCAAGTTCAGCACACTTTTTTGCTTGGAAGGTATCGTCAATTGTTGGTATGGTAGGGTCAACCATCCTAATGTGAAATATTGTCAGTTGAGGAAGATTGAGGAACTCTATCAATACAAGACAGGGAACAAATTGACCTTTATTAATATCACAGTAGCACTCCTGAATATTGTGTAGAAGTGATGGTTGTAATAATTTATATATTAAATCATCAGTGGGTTTGTCCAACACTACTGCTAGTCTGTGGGCCTGTAGTGAGGTATTGGTTAGTCCAGCAGTGAAGACTGATATTTTCTGGTTAGTAAAAAGTCCAAGGTGTAAGTGATTCCATGATGTGTGGTTAGAATTGCTTATAAAATAACTGAGACACATCCAGTCAAACAATGATAACAGCTCTGCTTCAGAACTATGCAGACAAAGTGAGTGGTTCTTAATAGATTTTGCTAATATTGGACATAATGTTGTGTTCTGTGATTCATACAGGAGTTGAAGAAGAAGAACAGGAACATCATCAAAGTATTTAGTTCTGTCTGATCTTTTGTGAAACTCATTTATATCCTCGATTCTCACCTTAACATTTTGATAGAAGTGGGAATGCTTAAACTTATAGTGACT